CTTTCCCTTGGGGTCTCATTTGGGGGGGGGGGCTCAGAGGACCCCTCCCCATGGAACCTGGTCCTGGGGGGGCCCTGCGGGACCCCTCCCCATGGTGCTTCTTCCTGGGGGGGGGGGAGTCCCTGGGGACCCCCTCCCAGCGATGCTTTATCCTGAAACCCCCCTGCCCGTGGTACCAAGTCCTGCGGGGCCCTGGGGGACGCCTCACCCTCACCCAGGGGTCCTGGGGACCCCTGCAGCCCCCCCTCCTCAAGGTGCGTGGTACTGGGGGACCCCCCCTCCTCATAGGCCCTGGTCCTGGGGACCCCCCCTCCCCACAGTAACCACCCCCAGGGGACTCGGGACCCCTTTCCCTCTGCTACCCCATTGTGGGGGGCCCTGGGCACCCCCTGGACGTCGTATCCAGCCCTGGGGGGCTCTGGGGGACCCCTCCCCATGCCAGCTGGTCTCTGAGGGGACCCTGAGAGCTGTCCCTATGGGATCCAGCCCTGGGGGGGCTCAGGGGACACCCACTCCCCTCGCTACCAGCCCTGGGGAGCCCATGACCATGGTGCTTGGTTCTGGGGGACCCTGGCACCCCCTCCCCATGATGTCCATCCCGGGGGGGCTCCAGGACCCTCCAAGAAGACCATAGTGCTCGGTCTTGGGGGTCTCTGGCCCCCCCTTCCCCTTGTTGCCTTATCATAGGGGGCTCACAAGACCCCTCCCCATAGTCCCTCATCCTGGGGGGCCCCCTCCCCAAGATACCTGGTCCTGGGGAGCCCTTGAGACCTCCTGCCCATGATGGCCACCCTTGGGGGGCCCTGGGACGTCACCCCCTCCCCCTGGTACTTGATCCTGGGGGGCTCTGGGGACCCCGTTCCCCATTGTACCTGGTCCTGGCACCCTCAGAGGGGGACCCCCCCCTTCCCCTTGCTAACCCCATCCTGGGGAGCTCAGGGACCCCCTACCCCATAGTAGCCAGCCCTGGGGGACACAAGGGACCCCCCCAACTAATGGTACCAAGTACTGGGGGACCCTGGGGGCCCTGGGACCCCCTTCCCCTTGGTAATCCTGTCCTGGGGGGGGCTCAGGGGATCCCCACCCCACAGTACCCAGCTCTGGGCCACTCTAGAGATGCCCTTCCCCTTGCTAATCCTGTCCGGGGGGGCTCAGGGGACCCCCTACCCCCATAATACCAAGCCCTGGGGGATCCTAGGGACCCCCCAGCCCATGGTACCCAGCCTTTGGGGACCCTAGGGACCCCCTACCCCATAATACACCAAGCCCCAGGGACCCCTCAGCCCACGGTACTCAGCCTTTAGGGACCCTAGAGCCCCCTACCCCATAATACCAAGCCCCGGGGGACCCTAGGGATTCCCCCCACCCCATAGTACTCAACCCTGGGCGACCCTAGGGACCCCGCAGCCCATGATACCCATCCCTGGGGACCCCCTTCCCCTTGCTAACCCTGTTCTGGGGGACCTTAGGGACCCCCACCCCATAGTACCAGCCCTGGGGGACCCTAGGGACCCCCTCACCCAATGGCACCAACCCCTGGGGGATCCTGAGGGACCCCCTTCCCCTCGCTAACCCCATCCTGGGGGACCTTAGGGACCCCCACCCCATAGTACCAGCCCCCCCCACCCAATGCCACCCATCCCTGTGGGACTGTGGGTGCTCCCCCAGCACCCACCCCAGGATGGGGGCATCACCTTGGGGCTGAGCCCCCCGTGACGGCGGCCGGGACCCCCCGGGGGGGGGGCCCCCAGGGGGGTTTCCGGTGGGGGCGGCATCCAGGGGGATCTCGGAGCCCTGGGAGAGCAGGTCCTCGGAGCGATCGTCGGGACGCTCGTCCGTGTTGGTGCTGCCCACGTCGGGGGTGGCACTGTGCGAGGGCTCGCTCGTGTGCCCCTCGTCCCCGTCCCCGTCCCCGTCCCCGTCTGAGAAGTTCTCCGAGCTGAAGGTCGACAGCGACTGGCGCTTGCTCATGCCTGGGGGCCACCTGGGATGGGTTGGGTGGGGGGCGTGAGGACCCAGGTGTCCGGGCACCCACAGACCCCTCCTGCACCCATCCTGGGCATCTGGGCACCCGCTGACCCCCTGCACCCAGTCTGGGTGTCCAACCACCCATGGATCCCCCCGCACCCGTCCCAAATGTCTGAGCACCCATGGACCCCCCCCCCCCCCCCCCCCCCCCAGGCGCCCAACCACCCCCGGCCCCCCCCCCCCCCCCAC